AATAACAGTAGTTAAAACACATAAAGATTTATTTTCTCAAGTAAAAGAAATTCCTTCCAACAATTCCAACAATTTCTGCTCCATCTCATCGGCCAGAACTCAGTCATATTCAGATACTCTCAGAATCCAGAGAGACTGGGGAGTCTGAGGACCAGATTGGGGGGCCAGAAAGATTTGTTTTTAAATCTGGGCATTTAGTTGCCCCAATAATAGAGGGTTCTCTTGGTAGAGATAAAAAAGGGAATGGATCATTTCTTCCACAAATGCCCATTCTCATTGTTTTAAAGATGGTGATTTATTTACCAGACAAGTCCTAAATGCATTAAGGTCAAGAAGATGGAAACTTATACATGGAATGAAAACAAAACAAAACAAAAACGAGCTCACAGAGAGACAACAGATTGGTGGTTGCCAGAGATGGGGGGTATGTGGGGTGTGGGCAAAATGGGTGAAGGGGGTCAAAAGGTAAACCTTCTACTCATAAAATAAGTAAGTCAGGGGGATATAATATACAGCATGGTGACTATAGTTAATAATACTGTGTTGCTTATTTGAAAGTTGTTAAGGGAATAGATCTCAAAAGTTCTCATCACAAGAAGAAAATTGTAACTAAAAGCACCATAGTACCTCCATTTTTCTAACTAAGTATGCTAATATCTTCTCTATGTCATTATAGATTTTGACCCAATGTAAATATTGGAAAATATTGAAAATACAAATATATTTTCTTACATTCAAACAAGCAATAAAACACTTAACATTTAATGAAGTTAGTTCTTCTTTCCATAATTGTTAAATGCCAGTAAAAAGAAAATTCTTTCTCTCTCTAAAAAATTTCTCCTTTAGCCAGAGTTAAAGACAAAAAGATGCCATAACTAGCCTCTGTTAGAAAAATAAGGTACCTCTGAAGTCAGATAACAAATTTTCTGCCAAGGAAACAGAGTTTGGCTGTTCCATAAGCTGGATAATGACTTGTGACCTCCTACCTGCTCAGTGCAATCACCACTTCTCAGCTTTTACTCCCTTTCAATTCTTTATTGAACTCAACACCATAGATTCACCTGGTCATGAAATTTTCTTCTGCCTCCCTTGGCCTCTGTGGCATGGTCCTACAATGTATGGTTTTCTTCTTTGCTTTTTTCCAGTCTCCTTTACTAGAGCTCTTCCTCCATTGGCCCCTAAAAAACAGCCTTCCTAGCTTGTTTCCAGGGCTGCCAATCCTGCTCTCCCCATAGAGTCCAATGGCACTTTTATCCCTGTCCTTCAATATAACTTCTGTGAATGGCTTCCATAGGTAGGTTCTACCTGTGGCCTCTCTAATCCCATATTTCTAACTTCTATTTATTAAAACACACACATACACCTTTTTTTTAAAAACCAGCTCTTCCATAGAAACTTCAAATTTAACACATCCAATGCTGAATTTATCCAATACTGAATTCATCCAATTCCTCTTGGCCCCCAGATCCATTCCTCCTCTGTCATTCTCTCTTTTGGTTGCTGACATGACATTGCCATCTCCGTAGTTCTTTGCACAATGCACTTGAACATCAATCACCTTGACTCTCATCTTCCCTCTCTACTACCCATATCTAATCATATACTAAAAATCCACTGCTTTGGCCTCCAGATGGAGATGGACTCCACCGTCATTACTTTTCACTTAGAATATTTTAATGATATCTTGAGATGTCTCTGTCTTTAGTCATGCCACATAATGCTACCCCATCATGTCCTAACTCTTCTAAAAAAATCTTCAATTGGCTATACCTTGCATACAGAATAAAATTCAGATTGTAGTATTGGGACTTTGAGGTTCTCTATCATCTGGAACAATCTGTTTATCGCTTTTATGCCTCTTCCTCACCACTCCTTTTCCATAGGACAAGCCTACCAATCAAAATTGTTTCCCTTTTTTCTCCCCCAGCCCTTTATGAGGACCAAAAGTCATCCATAGCCCTCATCACACTCTGCTTTTTGTTAGAGTCATTTGTGGTTGTTTCCCAGTTAGGTAGTGAGTCTCTGGAGGGCTCCTCCTTATCACATCACTGTGTTTACCACATTACCTTTAGTACAATAAATTAGACGTTATCCTCTGCAGGTGTTTGTTGGATAAAAGCTAGTTTTATATAGCCCTTGCTTCTGTTCACACTTCAATTCAGACCTCAATTCAAGAGTAACCATCTGTACAACTATGAGGTAAGGTTTCAGTGTCCATCTATCCTCTTTTTCTGCTCTCCTTTCTTGCACTTAGAGATGCTCAGTGCCTTCATGTTCACTCCTGTCTACCCTGCCTCTTATTAGGGTACCTACATAGATCCCTCCTTTTAAGCAACTCCAACTCTGAGACCCTTTCCTTCCCAGTTTCTTACCAAAACTACACATCCCCGAGACAGACTTTAGAGTCCATTCTCTTCGTTTTATAGATGAAGAGACAAAGGCCCAGGAAGGTGACATGAATTGCCCAAGTTCATGTGACTTATTAGTATTCTCTCTGAGATAGACCCACGGTCTCCTGACTCCAAGACCATTTTTCTTTCCTTCACACTTTGCCTCCTATCCCATATCTCAGCACCTTCAACTTCAGGATGTCGTTAAAGATGGGCAAGGACCTGCTGCTGACCATGTTCGGGAGGCATCTCTCTCTTAACAACAGTTACCAATGCTCTAACTCACAATAATGGATTCTGGAGAGTTCATGTTAGTACCCTCCTGTGATTATTTTGGTCACAAAATCTGGATTATTTTGGTGTTTTCCTAGCTCCCAAACTCATACCTCAGAGAGACACAGCTCTATTCTGGGATGTGTAAAGCCTGCACATTTTCTGCAATGTGCTTCCTTGTGACTGTGTGGTTAGTGATGTTCACTGTCTAACACAATCCTCCCACACTTGCAGAAACCATGGCAGCAGAGCTCCAGAGGCATCCCCCTGCAGCTTTACAACTTCCTGGGGAAAGAGTTCAGTTCATGAATGTGTTGTAATTTCTGTGAAGGGTATCTAAAGTCCTTCAAAACATTCGTGAATGAGCCTTTTCAATACCACTTGGAAGGAAGTCAGGGACTTCACCACTGAAACCAGCAGTAATGAAATTCAATGGCCACAACCCAGGAGATATATGAAGGCCTCAGGGCAGAACAAAGGCCAGCTGAAGCAGCCAAGGGCAGTTACTGCCACAAAAGGCATTTACCTTAATAGGAACTTGAAAGGCTTCAAGGAATGACACAGTATCCTTCCAAAAAGTATCACACGTTCTTTATTCATCCTGTAAAGCTAGGAATATAAAATTTAAATTTTATTCTCCTTTGGTATTGGTGCCATATTTGGGGGGTTTAATCACCAGGATGGGATGACCTGAAGAAACATTGCAATTTTTTTAGATGGAAAATTGAAGCATTGAAAGCTCGCCTTTTCTGCAAGCTTGCATCATAGAATTACAGGTCGCCGATGCTTAAGGAACCTTCTAGCACATCTAATCCAACCATGTAATTTAGAGGTAAAGAACTGATCCCTGTTAAGCTGATAACATAGATTATCTAATTTTGTGAAAACCATTCTACTCTAGAAACAGGAATTAACGGAGTAGAAACCTGGGCACTAAATTATAATTGTATTATTAGGACTAAGTGTGTATACAGGCCTGACAGACATGAATGCTCTGGACTTCATCTATTTGCCTTCAATTAATTTCCATCCCATTTTCTGCATACAAAGTGGATGACCACTTTACGTTTCCACTTTAGGTTTTGAGAAGTACGTGAATGCCTCCGGTGCTTTGTGCTAACATTAAAGTTGTTCCTTTTTGGTTTTTACTTTTCAGAAAAAAATAATGTAAATGAACTTCAAGACATGTCAATGACACTTAGTGACACTTCTCAGTGACACTTGGGTAAATTTCTTTATTTTAAAAAAGTGAGATAAGACACACTCTTTCAAGATGGCCTTGTGAATATCCAATCAAAGAATGGACAGAAAAATACTTTAAAAAATATAAAGTGCCTTGTCATAGAAGCGGGCAACTCTATTTACTTTATGTAGGCATTCCATTCCATTTATTCCTTCAGTAAATATTTATTAAGCACTACCAGGTCCTATGCTAGATACTGTGGAAGTAAAGAGGAGTTAAATGAGATCCCAACCTCCGGGAGCTTACAAAAGTCTTTTCCTGATCCTGGCAACCCTCCACCCCCACCCCAACAAAACTGTAACAGGCAACCATTAGGGAAGGGTCCCTGTTATGTTCTGCCTTACCACTTTGTACTTCCCTTCCTAGCATTGTCACGATTTCAGTTAAATAGTTGAGTAATTAATTGCTTACTGCCTGTCCGCCACTAATATCTTAGCTCCGTGGGAACAAGTATTTCGTCTCTTTTATTCTCTGCTTCATACCCAGCGCCTCGCGTGGTTGGCATAGGAAAGACGAGCACCTAATATTTGCCGAATGGATGGATGAACGTTAAGAAGGAATGAAAAACTAAACGAGCGTCGAAAACCTGAAGAGTCTGTAATACAACATAACCCGTACTATATTAGGCGTGCGTAGTACTATGGGAATTTACAGGAGCATTCAAAAGTTCGTCTTAATGGGGCTGATTTCCAAAACAGAAAATAATCTCTTCAGTCTCTGAGGCTCGCATGATACCGTCCCCCTCTGGCCTGCCTAGAGCTTAACAGGGATTCTTCTCTGGAATACCAGGATCGTGCCAACAGTAGGACAGCAAATAAGACTGGCTCAATGACCCAAAGGCTGGCATGCACTACGTCCAATTAGGTCATCTCTGGCTCAAAGCCAGAACGAATGAAAGGGTTCGTTCCCTGGCGTTCGCGCCGAGCCGGCACGAAACTCGGCCGCCAGCCTCCACGTCGGCTTCGGCTCCTCCCGAGGCCGCCAGTCACATGACTCGGACCGCGCCAGCCTTCGGCGCCTGCGTCGTTCCGCGCGTGCGCAGCGCTCCGGGGCGGCGGGCCCGAGCGCGCTGACAGCTTCCGGCTTGGTTTCCCCGCCCCTGCGTGGCTAGAGCCGTGCGGGTTTGGCGGTGGAAGCCGTGGGGCGGCGGGGGGCAGGGCGTGGTGAGGTGAGGTGGGTGCCCAAGCGGGGTTCCCGGAGCCATGGCTTGCTCCATTGTCCAGTTCTGCTACTTCCAGGACCTCCAGGCCGCCCGGGACTTCCTCTTCCCTCATCTGCGGGAGGAGACCCCCTGCGGCGCCGTGCGCAGGGACCCCAGTAAGTGCCCCCAGCCTCGCCGCTCCCTTCCCCCGCCCCGCCGCGGCCCCTGCTCGGCGGGCTCGGGTCTCCTAGCCGCCCTGCAGCCGCTGCCCTCGGGGAGCCTCGTTCCCCCGCGCTTCCCTCTTGGCACCGCGATGATCCCCTGCCCTCCTCGTCCTACAGCTCCGTCCCCCCCCGGGCGGCGTCGGTGTTGTCTCCCTCTCGCCCAGCTTTCTCCTAACCGCTCGCCCTCTGGCCAGAGCTGCGCCTTGCTTCCTGTCGCCTCTGCCGACCCCACTCCCCTCGCCCTCCTCCCCAGCTTTCCTTCCGAGGGCCCTCTCCGTCCCCCTCCCTCCACGGTCCCCTGTTCTGCACGGCTTGCTCCGTGTTCGCATCCTCCTTCCCTTCCCTCGCCTTGCCAGCTGTCAGCGCTTTCCCCCGGTACTGCCTCAACCCCCCGCCCTCTCCTCCATTCCTGGGCCTGCGGCCTTCTGCCACCCTCCCTCCCGAAAGTGTTTCTCATCGCCCGGTCTCCTCCTTCTAGCCCCTTCCCCCCATTCAGATGTAGAGACCAGTGGGTGACTCCTGAGGTGGTGAGTGAGCGTCTCCCACATAAGGAAAACCTGCCAGGAAGTGAGGGCGAATCTCCAGCAGGAACTAAAATTACAGCAACACGGCCAGGAAAAGTTAATTTCCTTTATTGAGCTGAGACGCCTTCAACCTGTTATTGTCGTCAGACAGTGTTAAGTAAGCCCTTATCCAGGTAGTATAAAATCCCAAGTCTGGTTTATTAGATACTGCATAGTTTCTCAGAATTTCCCACATTTCTCCTGTTGAAAGGGTGTGCGTTTTGTGTTTATTGGTTTCTTCGTGTTTCCCGCCTGAAGCACATCTGGTTTCGTAGAACCGTGCTGTCTGTCATTTTTGTGCTATACTGGAATGGTGATAAAAGGCCCACTAAATGAACTCCTTCCCCCTTCTTAAATATAGAAGAAATCAAATCAGAAGTCTCTGTGAATATTTACTCTGTGTTCATCAGTAGTGCTGCAAAGCAAGTAAGTTGGGTGGTCGCTGCCCTCTAGGAGCTATAGTTTACTGGGACAAATACGTTAACAGCTGCCATACGGTGTGATTGGGACATACACATATGTGTGTGTATATACCCGTACATATACGTATATGTATCTGACACTAGCGGACACTCCTTGAAGGGGGGATATGTAGGCCCACCTTTGAAGTAATGGTTAGATGCATAGGGGAGAGGTAATAGAAGGTGCAGAGGAAAGGAAGCCTGAAATGAGTGACATTTAGAGAACTGAGAAGAGCTGCGTGGCTAAAGAGGAGGATGTGGGGAGATGAGGCCGTAAAGGTGGTAAGGAGTTTGATCAGGAGAAGCCTGTGGAGGTAGTGGGATGCCTTTGGAAGACTTTCAGCAGAGAAATGACACGGTCAGTTTGTACTCCTACTCATCAAAGTTTTTGAATACCTTTTATGCACTTTGGTAGCAGCGTGGCAAGATGGGAAGCAGGGAGATTGGTGGGAGCTTGTTCCGATAATCCAAGAAGCCGTGTGAGCTTGAACTAAAATCACGCCCAGGACTTGAGAGGAAGAGATAGATTGGAAAGCTATTAGGGAGGTAGAATCTACAGGACCTAGTGAAGATCCGGTGATGGGGTTGTAGCAGATGAGTGAGGGCGTTGAGAATGCCTTTGACTTGGGCAAGGGTGTTTAATGAGAGAGAATGAAGGCTAGAGGCTTTGGACCTTTTGCATGTGAAATGTTTGTGGTATGTCCAAGTGAGGGGGTCCAGTTAAACACAATCTAGAGGTCTGAAACTTAATAAGGATCTCGGGCCAGAGATGTTAATTTGGGAGTTACCAGCCAAAAGGGTCAGTTCAGTGAACTGAATACTGAAGATGTACCCTTAGAGGAGCCTGATGTTTAAGAGTCATGTAGAGGTTAATGGGAAGAAGACTGAGAAAGAGAGGAAAACCAGGTGAGAGCAATGCCCGGGAGCAGAGGGAGGAGAGGATTGGATGAAAGAGCAGTCAGCAGTTGCAGATGCAGCTGAGGTAAGCTAAGGTAAGGATGCAAAAGTGCCCATTGGTTTTGGGAAAGTGGAGGTGACTGGGACCCTAGGACAGTTTCCGTGGAATGGTGGAGGCAGAAAACGTATTTATAGGCTATTGAGGAGGTAAGAAAAGAAGTTGACTTTTTCAAGGAGCCAGGTTATAAAGGATAGTGGATACAGGACTGTGGACAGGGGATGTAGAGGAAACAATACATTTTCTCTATCCCACTGCCACTCCCCTGCTCTTCTTTCACCTGGGCAATGGCACCAGTCTTCTCACAGAACTTCCTGCTTCCACCGTTGGTTTCTTGTAATTATTTCCGAAAAGCAGCCAGAGTGAGCTTTTAAAGACAATTTAGATCATAACATGCCCCTTTATAACTCTATGGCCTCCTATTGCACTTAATATAAAATCTAAAGTTCTTACGTTGTTTATAAGGCCCATGAGGCCCCGCCTCCTGCCACTTCTTGCACCCCATACTACTCTCCCCTTATTTTTTTTTAAGATTTTATTCATTTGAGAGAGCACAAACAGGGGGAGAGGCAGGGAAAGAGGGAGAAGCAGACTCCCCGTGGAGTTGGGAGCCCAATGTGGGGCTCGATCTCAGGACCCCAGGATCATGACCTGAGCCGAAGGCAGATGCTTAACCATCTGAGCCACCCAGGTGCCCCTCTCCCCTTATTTCTTGTGCTTCATACACACTTTGTTGTTGTTAAACCAGTCAGGCTCATTTGTGCTTGAGGCCTTTGTCCTTGCTCTTGCCTCTGCTTTGGATGCTGTATGCAGATATTTGCATTTTAGCCGCATCTTGTTAGTCAAGTCTCATCTCAGATATCAACATCTCACAGAGGCCTTTTCTGGTCACCTAATCTAACATAGTTATTCCTGCCCCCTTGATCACATTTGTTACTCTATCATATTGTCTTACTTACTTTTATCACTATGTCTATGTTGTCCAGTATGGTAGCCTCTAGTCACAGCTGGCTCTTGAGCCCTTGAAATATGGCCAGTGCTACCAAAGAACTGAATTTTTAATTTTATTTAATTTAAGCTTAAATTAATTAAAATGTGCCAGATGCAGCTAGTGCCTACCATATTGTATGGCACAGTTACAGGTGCTAAAATTTAGGCACATACAGGTTGACTACTTGTCCAGGGTCACACAGTGAAGTCTAGTCTAAGGATATGAACTCAATCCAGGCAGTTGGGGATATATAGTTTTACCCCTAAGCATCTGGATTAATTTGGAATATGCTGATGGGTTTACACGTGTAATTTAATTTATTACCCTTTTAAATCAGATTTTTAGGTTTGTATATATTGGTATTATCGGGGCTATCAGCAATTCAAGTAGAAAATAAATGGAGAAAGAACCTCTTAACCAGTGAGCCCCTTTGCCAAACCGATATTTTACAGTTAAAACAGTGCTTTAATTTACAAATAAAGATCATCAAAATATCTTGTCCAACTCTTGATACTTTATTTGGAATTCTTGGGATGACTAGCGCTATGGATTTCCATAATCACTGCGGGTCTTATTTTGTTAAAAAAACAAACAAAAAACCAGGTTTTATAAAGAGCTCTTCATTAAGACAATCTGAACTAAGCAGGTAAGACCTGCCGTAACCTACTGATGGTGTTTGGCCTTGCTTTGCTTCACTTTTATTAGTGTTATAAATGATTATTGGGAAGGGAGTCATGAGATCATTTTATATTCCTAGCTTATAGTTTTAATTTCTTATCCCAGTTCATTTTTAGGGGATATGTAAAACCAAAACAACAATAATGATAATCTTGAAGCCTTATTAGTTGGTTTAATTATTTTAATGTGGACAGCTGACATAGACCTAATGATACCTGGTTCCTGGGCACCCAGAACTCAGAACTACTCTCCGTATTTTAATTGTCAGAGAACAACAGTATGACATTGTTACTTTGTGTCTTCAATTATGAAATGAGAATATCTTCTATGGCTTTAAAGATTTTATTTGTCAGAGAAAGAGAGCACACACAAGCAGGGGGAGTGGCAGGCAGAGGGAGAAGCAGGTTCCCTGTTGAGCAAGGAGCCCGATGCAGGACTTGATCCCAGGACCTTGGGATCATGACCTGAGTTGAAGGCAGATGCTTAACCGACTGAGCCACCCAGGTGTCCCTCTTCTGTGGCTTTAAAAGAGATCTTGAACCCTACTGTTTCCCAATGTTTACATTAGTGATAACTATTAATAATTGTTTCTACTCAATCAGATGCTATTTCAGGCAAAAAATTTGGCTTCATACTTTGAAATTTCAGAGATGGGTAGTAGTAGGGGTCCCCACATAAACTACGGTGCCATAATTTCCAGTGAGACTGGATTTTTAGGCCAGAACTTTCTGATATTTATAATTGAGTTGGGCAAAAAAAAAAAAAAAAAAAAAAAATACATGTAGAGAGGGAGAATCAGAATATTTGGAGGGAATTAGAGTATTGTGGATCTCCTAATTTACTTGATAAGAAAATAATTTCCTAGTGACATACTAAAAAAGTAAGGCAGCTTTCCTTCTTGCCTCTTTTACCAGAAAGATAGAAGATAAATCATGCAGGGAATTACGTTGGCACCATCAGTTAAAGTCATGTTTTTATATAATCACTGAGCAAAATGTGCTTTTTAGGATAACCTGAAATCATGGGGTCACTTTACATGATGGGATATTACAAAGGGCATAAAATACCCATTTTTTATGCTTCGTGAAAATGCTTTCTCTTGTTTGAGATCCTACTGGGGGGAACATTTATAGGAATTTCAGAAAATTTATGGAGTTAATGGATTTTGTTAGCAATTTAAAATTGGAAGAGGCTCTCACAGATAAAATTTGTCAATGAGGAAATTGAGACATGCATAGTCTTTAATTCCTTCATAGAGCTAGTGTTTGTTGAGTACTTCCTATGTGCTAAGCACGAAGTAGTCT